ATAGATGGGCCATGGGGTGTTTTCCTGCTGACTTGGAAAGAGATATACGCCTTTATCGTGGAGGAATAAAAAGGAACAAAGATACCAGAAAATATCATAAATTTTTAACAGATCGGGATATGCTAGTCGGTGAAGAGTTATTACGCCGTGGTATACTACAGAGCGGTTTAAGTACTACAAGGCTTGATGAGCTTATGAAAGAATGGGAAGGAATCCATACACAATTTATACGAATTTTCTCTCCAGACGGATAACAACGAAGGCATAGATTATCGTATAATTAAAAAATAAAATCTGCTTTTGCAACAAACATGTCACATGCATAAATCTCAGCCAACGATCAGATTCACAAAACCGTGACAATCGACAAAAAAAACTTTACTAGAGTTAAGTGATGATCCCACCTTCTCGTGGTCAAGCTTACTCGAAGCCAGAAAAGTCAGATGACATATACTGACAACATATACATCTTTTCTCCGAGAGGCAAAGATGAAAAATCGGATCATCTAATCGGCGCATATTTTTTCTGAAAAATTTATTATTGTCAACCATATATATATAAAACAATAAATTAACTTATTTTTTGCGTATATAAAATGTTTAGAACAGGTGCTACACGCTTATCACCCGAAGCAATTAGTGATATAATTACTGCCAAGGGTACAGCAAATGTATTATCGAATCTAGCTAAAAAATATAATGTATCATGTGATCGAATTTATGAAATATGGCTACTTATCACTACAATAAATAATTAGTAAAGCTAGCTGATATATACATAACAAAATTCAGTTAAATCATTTTCCCGCGATCACATGGGGTTGCTCCCTTGGGGCTCTATGTCACATATGCGGATTCACACTCAATTATTAACACTTGCGAAACCACGGTTTCAGGATTTATTACATAGGTTGTGACCTAGAGGTCACTATATCACGTGATATGTGACGCAGTAAATACATAATTTGAGCGAAATAAACAAATATAACATCGAAATTGAGAGCCGTGAAAGATTTAACCCGCTGGATTCTACCTACTGAATAAATTGTAAATTTTCTGGGCTCTCTTTTCTCTTCCGTAGCAAGGTTTCTCTAACTGAATTGGGGAGTTATCTAACTTTATAAACTAATGCCTAGGCTGTGTGAGCAGTATTGATAAATTTTTTCTCAGAAACATTGTACTCAAAGACTAGCTTATCACATTGATGATATAAGGTTTCGTAACCTTAGACAGAAACGGTTTTCTGGTTTCTTATTTTCATTGCATATCAGACTCATAATCGGAAGAAAGACTTTATTTTTACGGTATTCATAAACTGCAAGATTTACAATATTTGAATTGTAATACAGATTCATTCTGTTGTATATATTTTTCCACTTAAAAGAAAATCAATAATATTTCAAATATAGTGAGACATGACTATTTATTCTTCTTACTTTTTTTCTTTTTTTTGTCTATCACTATTATTGGCTCAGCTAAATCTTGTAACTCTACACGAGCTTCAACTTCATCTACGGGTATCAGCTCGCCAGTGCTCTCTATGATGGCACATATATTCTCTGGAAAGTAGAGGTGGTTCGCAAGACCTTCCTTCAGATTTCGTCCCATATATTTCATGCTTTGTTCCATTTCGTTCCACTTGAACATAATGCCACGATCATCTAACATCAAAACAACCATCCCAGAATGGTCTACAAACACCGGGCGAACACCGGTGATACCGAAAGTTTCACGAAAGTACTCCCTATCTTCCGGGTGCAATAACCCCTTGTCTGTATTTTCATGGTACCCGCGAGGATCATCCTTCAATTGTTCTATCATCTCTGAGACATCTGGCAGTTCTTGCACGGTGGTATAAATTCTCTTGTCCGTACTGATATTGTTCGGGATTTGATTGGTAGTTCTGGCCTCCACCGTAGTAGAACAGTCCATGGATTGGTCTCCGAGCAGTTCCCGAACTCCCAATCTTCCAACCTTGGAATTATTCTCCCTCTCTGATCTCGCGGAAAGAGATATAGATCGTTCATCTTTCGGATCTTGATCAAATTTTTTCTGTCCCATTCCTCGGGAGCCGTGAGTGATACTCCGAACATAATGTTGATGATCTTTTGTTTGATCGATTTCCAAGATACATTTATCATCGTTGGGCACCTTCGGAATCTGCGGGAGGGTTCCAGTGTGGTCATCCAATGAGATATTTGGTCGAGATGACGAAATAGAAAGGACACCTGATTCATATATGTAAACTTCGTCTTCTTTTTTTTGGGATTCCTCTTTCTGGGCCAGAGATTTATCGTGTACAGGTAGCAAATGGCGTCCCATGGGGTGATTATGGTAATTCCGGTCCCATCTACTTTTATTACTATTGGTTTCGGTTGTCCATGGATATCGATAGGGAAAAGAACTTGATTGTTCTTCCTGATGTGAATTAAAGAGTAAACTTCAATATCCATGCATAAAAGAAAACTAAACATTTGAGACTTACCTGTACGGTAGAAGGCATGTATCGTAAACTTCCTGCGACCTCTCGTTCTTCTTCGCCATTTTTTCGATACATTCCCAGATCTGAGGTTAAAAGTATTTAAGGAAATTACTTTTTTCTTGTATTTCGTAACGGCTAAGATTTACCTTGTTCGGACTCCATTCCTTTCTTAAACGGGGAAATGGCATGAAGATGGTCAGAGTTAGTAGAGTTGTTCATTTTGACGCTTTTTATAATAAATAAATCAAAAATATCAGTAAGAAAACAAAAAAATCAGTGCTTATATAATAAAATTTTTTCGGTCGTACAGTGATTCATAATTGACGTAAAATTTTTAGTAATTTATCATTGTGTCACACCTTACGAATAACAATATTTCAACAAAAATTGTCCTTTGCATTTATGTACCTAGCACTTATATGTCTCATATTTTATTTGTAACAATAAAGCATTAGACGGGATTTATTTCAATGTATTGATCATGAATTTTTTCCTGTAATTATGCTAAAAATTTTTCTGGCAAACGTTTAATGCATCAAAAAATTATCTTTCTTCCTCATTTATCGATTCATTATTAGAGTGGTTGACTACCTCCTACATCATGCATACTGACATCACTTTCGTTTCGTGACAAGAGCATATTTGACGCTATGCGGGAAACAAAGTTCCCTAAATTAGATGATAAATTATTGGAATCGTCATGACTCTGATTTTGCGTTTCATTCGTGGCCTCATAAGGTGGTGATTGAAGAGATGATGTTTCAGCCGGAGGCAGGCGAACGCCAATATTTTGCTCAGCATCGGGATTGTTTGTAGTGATAGATGAACTTCGGTTTATTCGTCTAACAGTGGATCTCATACTTAATTCACGCTCAACTTCCTCAATAGATGGTGCCGGTGTTATATCCCCCATATCTCTATTTCGCCTACGGTTTGAAGTGTTGATATTACGGATTCTATCAAATTCATCTTCAGGTCTCTCCCAAAAATGTGTACGAAATTCGTCAAAATATTGTGCGCCAATTCGATTTCTTCGTGCTCTACGACTACCTGCCATATATTCACACAACGCCTAAGCAGGTGGTTAAATTTTTGTTGATAGCAGAACTAGACGCATATTCTTGGCCGTGCCAGCTTCGCTGATTATGGTGCGAACTTACGTTATAATTCCGAACAAGATTCAAAAATTTTTATTTACAGTGGTAACCATTAAAATGAGTGTTGTGTTCTCGATTGATTCTATTTGCAATGCTATCCCAAAATTCGTTTCGATTTCTCCCAAGGTTATGGTACTCTATATTTCTATTTCTTCGTTCATCGAATAGAGTACGTGTTTGTGCATCTGTCCATTCCACCATTTCTTAGCTAACCTTGATAGATACTGAGCTCGAAAAAAATATAAAAAAAACGCCAACCGTGATTTAACCAGAGTTCGACCGTAGTTCAACCGTAGTTCAACCTAAATTTATATTTTATTATATAATAATTATTGTTTTATTAAACCAAACTTCAACCAGAGTTCAACCAGAGTTCATACCGTTTTATGTTCATCATTTCTATTTCACGTCGCTCGAAAAAAATATCCAACTCGAAATAGCATTACGTCCGAAAGTTTATTATAGCAGAATCGATATGGAAAGGCGAGTTTCATGATCGGCGAAAAAAACATGAAAATTAGAAAAAATAGCGAATCAATGTATATGTGAGAAATTGAGTCGTACAAAAAATATGTGGATCTAACCTGTAAAGTGCTTATTCCTCTGCATCCACGTTATCTCAAACATATGCTCATGATCTGCAATAAAAAATTGGATTATCGTGATCGCGGTTTATTATACGATTAATTTACGTGTCAAGGCACGAAGTGTCATTTCTCTGAAATAGGCTATAAAAATTCTTTACGCACCTTTGTACAATTATATACCTTGTTCTTATTTCGCTTCTTTTTAGGTTTAGAATGGATAGAGCCGAGGACTTTAGACTCGTGTAATTTTTTTGCTGGCTTTGAGGTGCATGTGAGAATTTCTACATCATCAGATAATTCAGTTTCAGAATTTGAGGTATTGCTATTATAATCATAATTATCTGAATACATATACTGACA